CCTGGGGGGATTGATCCCAGCATTATTAAGTTCGCTAGTAGGCATTTATACAGCTGGGTGGAGAGAGGCACTGTGAGAGAAAAGTTTCTTCCTCAAGAACGCAGCACAAGGGTTCAAATCCAGACTGCTCATTCCAGTGTCAAGTGCACTAACCATGAGGTCACTGCATCTCCACACATGCATGCTGATTAAACAATGTTTATTAATCAACTGTATTTTTTTTTTCCTTGCAGCCAGTGGGATGGCTGGTCTCAGCGGTTATTACCCAACCGTGATTCTAGCAATACTTGCTTATGTTGCAGACACAACTAAACCAGACTCTAGAGCATTGAGGCTTGGCATTCTAGAAGCTATAGCCTTTGTTTGTGGGACAGGTGTATATTTTGGCAGTGGTGTGTGGATCAAGAACTATGGCTATGAATCAGTCTATTTGGTAATATTGACATTACATCTCCTGAATCTTGTCTACGTGGTCATCTTTCTCCCTGAATCGTTACCACAAGAGCTCAAACAGAACACAACAGGCCTATCCTGTGATGCTGTCAAATCTATTTGGACTGTTTACACGAAGAAGCGACTTGGACGCTGGGTCCTTCTAGCTCTCCTGATTTGTTCAGTTCTTGTTTACTTAGCAGGATTTGTTGTACAAACATTATTGGTTCTATTTGGTAAAAGAGCTCCACTTTGCTGGGAATCATCTGTTATTGGTTACTTTCTTGGGGCATCACTGTTTTCCAAAGCTGTTGGTGCTGTGGTAGGAATAAAACTTTGTTCATGCTTAGGAATCTCTAATTTTGGTGCTATTCAAATGGGAGTGTTCTTCCTCATAGCAAACCTGGTAATGATTGGATTTTCCAGGACCACACTGGAAATGTTCTTGGGTAAGTCAACTTAAAGTTCCTAGTAAATAGACAAAGTACATGTACAATGCAGTTGTGTCTCTCAAAATCTGGCTAGAATATCATTTTAAGGGCTGGAAAGAGAGGTTTGTTTAACTTATCCAGTATTTAAAACAGCATAATCCCAGTGACTACGATCTACATGGCTTAGCTGCTTAACGCAAGCTGCTTTTCAGAGACTGCTTTGTTCACTTTCAGTGGTAATGACGGATGACCAAATGAAGGTTAATGCAAACATAATCTCTCTCTCACCGACACTTAAAGTTACTTTGGGGGGAGGGGGGGGGGGTCCAGGTTGTTCAAAGTATGGATAGTACTGGCCAACAAATAAATGACAGATATCAATTTATCAAATGGACAGAATTATGCATGTATTATGTCTGAACTGCTGAATACTTTGTATATTGTTTTCACTGCTTGTTTTGAGCATCTAAACAGGAGTGAGATATTCTTTAACCAAGCAAACTCTTTCTCATTTTGTAGCGACAGCTCTTGGTTTCTTCAGTGGTGTGCCACAGCCCTGCATCAGAGCAGAAATGTCCATATTGGTCGACAAAGAAGAACAAGGTATTACCACTTGTCAGTTTGCCCTTTTCAATACTTTTTTTCAAATACACTGTAAGTTACAAGTGCCAGAGGGCAGTCCCTCCATTGTGGCAGCAAAACGCCAACCTCTATGACACCAAGCGTTGGTGTTTTGCATTCTAAATTGGCATGAACAGTTAGTAATAATTCTTTTCTTCGTTACATTATTTTATTATTTGTATGTACAATATTTTTCTGGCACTGTTTCACTTGTACTTTTGTTGTTCTTTTAGGTGCTCTTTTTGCCATCCTAGCATCTGCTGAAAGTTTGTGCAACTTTTGCAGTCAATTGATTTTCAATCCACTGTACACTTGGACTATAAATGAACTCAAGGGAAAATTTGCTGCTGGTATAACCTTTTTCATCAATGCTGGGATTTTGCTAATTCCTATGGTTCTTATTGGGTGAGTAAATATTAGAGAAGGCTGGGTCTGCCCCAGTTCTAAGGAGTAGAAGAGCCACAAGGCTTCTCATCTGTTTGAGATGTTTCTAAGAATGATTCAGGACTTGGAGTATTGGTACTCTTCATGGATGGAATACCAGCCAACTACACATCGTAAAGCAGTCATTGTGCAGTGCACTGTAGCAATGCCTGCATTTGTCAATAACATTGCTACTTTGCTTCTCTTCTGAATCTACACCCAGTATCGGCAGTACAGTACATGTACTGCATGTACTACTTGCAATGTGCAGGGCCAATTTGAAATATTATGAGCCTGATTATCCATGAACAATGACGATGTATCTGTTCTTTGTTATTGAGTCCTTGTGCTTGAAAACTCGGTCTATTCAGTGAGTTTTACAGGCACAAACAGCAACACATTTGGCACCTACTCTACATGTACTCCATTAAATAAGATACAGAGAACCAATTTAGTGGTCAGAAATAAAGAACTCAAGGTTGTTTTCTGTTTTTTTTTTTGTTTGTTTGTTTGTTTGTTTGTTTGTTTGTTTGTTTGTTTTGGTGAAGTTTGTGACTTAGCAATTACGTTATTCATACCAGAGGTTTTCTGTAAATTTTGAAAGGTTGATAACTGCTCAAGTTTACTATTAAGCTAATTTATCTTTTTCCTCTTGTTTCAGGATTATTCAGAGGTTTAAACCTTCAAAACCTAAGGAATGTCCAACTCTTATTGACAACGAAGACCCAGTTTCATAAAGATGACATTAGCAAATGATGTCCTTGTATATATGCACTCGCACTTCGGAGCAGTTTATACCAATTGTACATATTGCAATTTGTCGGTCTCAAAATTCATTCTAGGCATGAGAAGAAAAATTATTTTAATTTAAGGCTCGTGAAGTACATACATGCGTAAACGTTATCCTTAGACAAACCAAAATTTGAAAAGTAAATGAATTCATTTTAATAATGTTACATTTTGAAATTCTCAAATCCATTCGCAAAGTACGTGACACCATAGTTAGTAGAGGGGACTAACTATGGTGACACATTGTGTTAGTTACGGTGTCAAGCACAGCAAGTGTGAAACAAATGGTCAATAAGTTTGTTCCCTTTCGTTACATATTTGTAATTTGAAAACTTGCACTGCTTTATTTCCAAAATCCAGAAATCTATGTACTTCTATGAAACTGGCATGCAAAGATCTTGGTGCAGATCAAACAGTTTATCTACTCGAGGGAGGTTTCGGTTTCCACAATAAACCAGTTCCCACACTAACTATAAATTTTTCTTGATTTTTTTGTGGTACTGTACTTTAGGCGCCATTTCCAGCTGTTTTGTGAGACTGCGTTCTTTGTTATGCTATTTAGCTTACTTGCTTGGTGAGTGATTTCTAAATGCAAATGTCAAACGATGACAGCAAAGATCAACCAAAAGAATCGTAATTTAGGGTCATCGTCATGGACACTGTTATCTGCACATTATTGTACTGCCATAGGGCCTTTTCGAAATTACCACCCAACAAATAAAAAAAATCACAATGTTTAACCAGAGGTTTCTTGTCATTTTTTTACGGCAGTAACATGTACTATCAGCTGGTAAGGTACCGTAAACTTCCGAAAGAAAAGACCCGCCGAAATTAAGTAACATCAAAAAAATGTGGCCGCTAATAGATCCCGAAAGAAGCGACCCCTCGAAACAACCGAGCCCTTCAAAAGTGGCGAGCCCACTTCCACCCCAAGCCTCCCCACCCCCTCCAAAAATAGTCAGACCAAGGTTTTTATTCCCAATCAATAGTCAGGTAAACGTTACGTACGGTAACTTGCTTTAAGGCACTCTACAACAAGGGAAGGTATCGCTTACATTGCGAAGCGTTGTGAAATGCCAATTCGTGTTTCATCAGTTCGGGTTGCGCCGTGTAAAGACGACGAACCCGTAACAAGAACGTACTAACATAAACTCTTCTTTAAATTAAAATTGAAAGCTTTGCATCCTTCCCAAACGAACGTCAAAGGTGGAGTCAAAAGTTAAGATCACATTTGCCCTCTCCTTTGTCAAGTATCAAATGTATAGGCAAAGCCATGACATATTTGGCAAACAATTGACGCGCGTCAAAATTTGGATCAAAGCTATGATCATGTTTGACCTCGACTTTGACGAAGATATACACTAAATCTAATTTTTCGTGCCGTGCCAATTCCTGCCCCCTCAATTCTAGCCTGCGAACAGGCTCCCGATGAGCCCGAACGAAGCTCTGTCCCCGCCCTGATCGCTTTGCTCTCCGAATTCTTCTGTTTCGCGCTCGCCGAAATTTGTTTCGTCCTCGCCGGGAGCCTGTTCGC